GTGCAGAGCCATCCGTAAACCAAGCATGACTTTTTGGTCTTCTGTTAAAGTATGGTAAGGAACTCCCCAGGAGGCCATAGGTACAGACTGGGAGAAAGAAAGTACTGTGATAGGAGTGGAGACTGTGGGCATTTGGGCCACTTTTTCATGCAGCTTACTTGTCCCTTCAGTTCCTGTTTTGGCCCGATCTTGTATATACCACTTCCATTTAACAATGGAGTGTTGCTGCACACGTCCAACTTTATGATTCCATGGGTCAGACAATACCCACATATTGTCAAGATGTGTCCACGACCACTGGATCCACAAGACTTGCCACCCACAGGCCTTGACATCATGGCATGTGTTGTATTGAGTCGGAAGAGGAGTTTATAGCTTGGTATCATACATATGGGCTACTATTAGACTTATGGACTTGATCTAGACTGGGTTTGGATGTTTTATTGATCCATACTTACTTCTTGATATAAAGTTCTCTTTTACACACATGAGACAACACCTACACACACTATCTACATATGTAAATACACATATGTATTTACATACACCACATAAATACTTATACACATACAATTCATAATAAGACAAGGTGTCCTTCCACCATTTCACACCTAACCCAACACTGAACATTTTTCCTCTTGTTCTTCTTACTATGTGGCATTGTCTCTCTGCAGCAGCTCACAGGCCAGACCTCTTTTCTCACACATGACAGATAAAGGAAATACTGTCATGTAAGCTCTTCATCACGCTCCCTCAGAATTCTTCTCTTCTTTCCATCCACGTGCTACTATTTCATGCACTCCATCCCTCACTATGTTTTGTCACATTTCCTTCTCCATTTCTGTGCTGCCATCGACTGGGCCTCTACAATTATGACAGTGCAATCGAAGACACAGGTCTGCTGGTGTTACCGTTGTGCTTAGAAATGTGGATTCTACAATCCCAACAGTAAAGAAAGAAAAGTATTGGAGAACTGTTAAAATAAATATAAGATTCATTTCACATCTATGACTTGTCCACACCATCTTCACACACAAAGCACGGGTTGCATTAAAGTACACACAGTTCTTTTGTACAATACTTTCTCATGAATGTACTTCAACATATCTAATTTTCTCTCCCTGAAACCCTTATTCCCTGCATGAGCTATCTCCCACTTTCTTTTTTAAGCTTGAGGTGCTATGTCTCACCCATAAAGTCTTCTGTGATCACCACTAGTCGATGAAATATGTCCCTTACCAGGAACACCTCCAGCACCCCCTGAATCTCTCCACCACCGCACTTTGTGCAATGAGATATAGCTGTTTGTCCTTCACCCATAAATCTATAAACCTCTGGAAAGCCAGAATTATGTCTTCCTCTCTTTAGACATCTATCATATAATAAAAGGCTATGAGAAACTCAGTAGGCATACAACAACCGCTGAATGCAAGGATGTGCAAAATCTACCAAAGACAACTGTGACTAAGTTTATAAGAGAATATGTTTCCAGTTGAGTAAATTTATAATAGCTGGTGCTCAAATACATATACTCAACATGAATTTGAATAGCTCTTTTCTTATAGTCACTAAAATATTTCTAACTAAAAACTGTTGTTGGAGGGTGCCATCAATCCCAGCAACCCCTAAGAACAA